AGGAGGACTGGACAGTTGCCTCTTTCTGCTTTCTTATAAGCATAGGGCAGCTGGTAGCTGAACAGTTATGCTGTTCTTCAGGGAAGTAAGAGGTAGATTTGACCACAACTGGCTGTATAAATGAGTGAACATGATAAGAATGGGGTAGAGCAAGTATTACCATACTGTGTTCACACTGTACAGCATAGGTGCAAGTATCCTCTCGGTCCCATGTGGTGGGATACCTACAAAAATAATTAAATATGTATTTTTCAGTTCAAAGCATCTCAAATAATTTTCAGATTCTTTCACATCTTAGCAGAACAGAACAGTGTTCTTACAGCCAGATGCCAAAGGCATGTGTTGTATGCCCTTGGCGATGCATTAAGGTGAGAAAAGTTTCAAGGCTTGTTGAGGCTGTTTAGAAGACGGCATAAGAACAAAGCTGGAACTGTGTGGTGTCGTACATAGTGTTTAAAGGGCACACTGAGTGGATCCGAGGTACACATTGAGATTTTAATGTGGGTGGTACTAACCAATAAATCCTGAAAGAGAACTTGAGAGAAAACCGTCATGTGTGCACTTTGGACAATCAAGGAATCAGGACTTGGGAGAAAATCAGGAAGCCAAGTTATTCGGCTCTGTAGATGCTCCCTATAGGAGTGTAATCTCTTTTAGACTGTAGGATGCTATGGAACAGCAAAGAACTAATTGTTCCTTTTGGATTCAGCTTTATAATATATTTCGTCACTGCCTTTTAATGACTCACCAGTCCAGTCTTGACTTTAAAGAACTCAGTAAAAAGCCTGCTTTTGATGTAAAGAGGAGCTTTACAGGCCCTGTAGGACCTGAAAGGATAGCAAGGTAATAAAGCAAAATAATTGTTTAACCTAAAGAGTGAGTTGCCTGACTTCATTGGGAAATGTCTGGAGAAGTGTGAAACACAGAAATTAATTTACAAATGGGTTGGAGTTTTTTGAGATTGTAACAGCAGCTCAAGGTCCAAAGTTTCTAAAAATATTCTTAAAATGCTTGCACGTTATTTTTAAATTAAATTTTTTATGATTACTTTGGGATAGTCCTATTCTACGGAGAAACGAGACGAAACCATTTGACATGGCTAATTAAGCTGTTCTTCAAGAAGTAAAAAGGTTCAATACTGTGCCTGATAATCCCTAGCCCTAGGTGGGTGGATGTGGAAGTCATTGAACAACAGGAAAATTATTGTGGTTAAAGACTGCCTATACATATCTGCATCTTTAAGCTGAAATTTCAGTTGGGTGATACTTTATGTGCTTTGGAAATTGTGGTTTTAACATTTATTTTTTTTCTTCTAGTATCGAGCAACCACTCTGCCTGCATTTAAGTATTACGTGACTTGTGCCTGTCTCATATTCTTCTGCATTTTTGTTGTACAGATTCTGGTATTGCCAAAGTAAGTGGTATTTAATGTGTACTCATTCCTATGTATATTTGCTCATTATTATAAAAATAAAAGTGTATAAGTAAAAGGTTTTGTAATTGTCAGATTACAGAGTTGAATTCATGGAAATGAAATTGAACAGGGGAGATTGAGGATTGCAGCCCATTTTCAAAGTTATGCTCGTTTCTAATTTCAAATGCTGTTGATAGCGTGGTGCCAAGCATTAGTATAAATTCTTCATTCATTTTAGTTTTTCTCTTTGCATTTAAAAATGTGTGATGATGACAGGAATGAAATTCCTGTGTGTAGAAAAAAGTAATACAAGCTATACGTTTGTGCAACTAAAATTGCATATAAAATAAATGTGACAATAGGACATTGAAGTGGGACAAAATGGATTGTAGAATTTGGGCTGTGATTAAATAAATATATTTAAGATATTACTGTGACAATACTGCTCTATTCAGCATGCACACAGAGCATTACTATTCATAAAATGTCTCTTTAAAAGTAATTCTAAAATATAGTCAATTGCTGGAATAATTATTTTTATCAGAATTTATATATTATGAGCTAATTTATATTTGTGCTTAGAAATCAGGTATCTTTCTATCTGTGTGTATTCTAGAAAGGCCGGGAAAACCAGAAGACAGTTCCAATAAAGAATATTTTATTAGACTTCTTAAAATGGAATTTTGTTGTTGACTGTTTACATAGTGGAAAGTTGATAGCTGTTTTACAGCAATTGTTTCCAACGCCAACGCGTTGTATTCCCTGTGATACAGTATTTCTTGACTCATAGTGTTTTCTCCTGCGCAATGCTTTCAGGAGGAGTACTTATAACCTCAGTTGATTGATTGGTCTTGTGCTGTAGTGCTTACTCACATTTTCGTTCAAAGCCAGAAGGAACTGTTAGGTCATTATAAATTGACTTTCCATACTGCAGACTTGTTTTATAACATGTATAAAGTTTTATGGACTTCTATTGAGATGTTACAGCATTTACTTTGCAAAGGGTTTCCCTGCTAGTTTATGACATGGAGACACAAGCTGCAAAAGGACACTCTTCCAAGAGTTCAGCAGTATCCTGCAAATGATTCAGTCTGACTTTAGGCATTACTATTGACCAATTTTATTTGTCATTTTGCATGAGTATCTTTTACAAGCTCGTACAGCATTTGATTAGTACAGGAATTAGTTCAGGGAAAGTCGTGGTTTGTGATATACCAAAACCCCAAACTTGGATCTGACTATTCTCTTCCAGCAATATGATTTATGAATCTGGTTTTATGTCTTGATTTCAGTCATGAAAATGAATTTAGATACATCACCTATCATACATGTAGTAAGATGCTCACTTTGCTATATCCTTATTATATCTCTTAAACTGATTGTGTAGCTCATTAAACTATATCAGATACTTGAAATAAGTGAGCTCTAGAGAGCTGTGGAACTAAGGAATGTGTCCTCCGACTTGTAAAAGCATATGCTGATATTACATGATCTCATTCTAACATCAAAGCAAAAGTTACGCATGATTTATCATTTCCATTACCAAAACGTAAATTATCTTTTGGTCCTTTTATAGGGCTGCATATAAATTGTAAAAGCAAGAGTGTAAAATCAGGTATTACCAACGTGAATGATATTCAGCTTCAGCTTCAGGGGGTCTGTGGTTTAGTTCAAGAGATGCAAAAATGGAAGACAGAAAGGCAAGGTATTCTACAGGCATCTGCACCTTTGCTGGAAAACTGGGAAATCACCAGTGTATGAAGTCATCACAAATGTAGCTTAAATTGAAAATACTCCAGTGCTGCAAATGTTATTTCCTTCCAGCAATCATCAGTCAATCAATCAATCATAGTTTAGTCTAAAATGCTATTTAGCTTTTTTTTTTCTTTCAAAAATTCTACAGGATTTTTGAATGGTGATTTAATGAAGACAGGGAGATAAACTACATCCGTCATTGGGTTTTATTGATTCGCTATTCCATTAAACTGGTCTTGCAGCAGTGTAATATCAATTATTTCTGTGCAGGAACACCACCTGCTGCTTTAAGTATATTTGGAGATATTTGATGGTGAGTAACATCCAGCAAGTTGCAAGTAATAAGTAATATCTCCAAGATCACAAGACATTTATTTCAAGGCTGGAGTAGTTTATTAATGTTTTAATTTTCACGGGATCAATAAACTGATGTGGTGTTTTCATAATAAACTTTAAACAAAGTGGTAAATATAAATTTAATCAAGTAAACAATATCTTAGGGTGAAATGTATCATGAGGTGTAGGTCTTTATTGTGACATTAAAATGACAGCAAATCTCGATCATTACATTTCCTTGGAACAGGCCTTCTGTGGCTCTCTAGCAGTCTTGGTTTACTAAGTGACAGAAGTATCTCTAGTAATTCACGACAACCCTGCTTTCTTTATTTAGGGAAATGGACAACTAACATGGAATTGGTAGGGTTCTTTTTTGAAATGCAAACTGGTGAATTGATGAAAGTATGTTCCTGTTGAACAGGACTTACCTCTTTGCTGTCTGAGGCTGCTATGTTCAAGAAACTGTGTCCTTTTGTCCTGAGTCATGCCAAACTAACAATTAGCTTGTTCTGCCCACGAAAAGTGATTAGGAGGCCTTAACATAGTATTTCGAGTCAGGCACAGCTGAATTTCTTCATAGAAAAGGTAGTACTTAAAAAATCCATCTGAAAGCAGGCATGTAAAATATAAGACAGTATAAATGAAAGAAAACCACCATTACTAGATATTTTTCTGCTATATCTGATTTAAAAAAAAACTCAGGTGGAGTTATAATACTCAAATGATTTTTCTTAACACTGAAACTGCCATAGGGTTAGTCTACATAGCCTTTGAATCCATCGAAGGCTTAGTGAAAGCATCAGTCAAGTTAAGAAAGAAATAGCTACTGGCTACTATTAGATACAAAAAAAGTCTGAATTCAGTATTGTCTTGTGTTATTGTCATTTGTAATTACTTGATTATGATTTTATCGCCTCAAGAGAATTTGCAATCAAATAGTTCAAAACATAAATGTTAATCACTTGTCAAGCTAAGGAAATTCTCTACACCCATTAAGGGACAAGTGCCATAAGTCACATATTTTCCTGAAAGTTAGAAAATAATATGTTCTCTTCTCCATTTTCAGTATCTTTATCTTCATAATAAGTTTTTGTTTTTCAGTTAAAATGTTTCCAATAAGACATAAGTATGTATAAATACTTTTTTTCCCCCCCAATCTCATACCAGCAGATAAAATTACTTATTCAAAACATGTTTACTGATGAAACCAGGAAAATATGAGAAGGACAGCCACGATCATAAATTATTTAGACTTGGAACTATCTGCAGCCTGGGAAGTTCTCCTATTGTTTCCTCAGTTTTAAACTCTGTCCCTCTGTAGGTTATTGTCAAGGCTTGTCCTGTCAGGGTTCCTGGTGACCACAGCAGAGAGCAGACCTTTCAGAAATTAGCTCATTCCCTGAAGCGTAGGAAGAGGCAGGTAGAAAGTTAGCTGGCTTGTGGGATCCCGGGTGCTCTTCTGACAAAATGGTTTGCCTGAATCTGTCAATGCAATGCATTTGCTGCCTTGTGCAATGCGTTGGATGACTCTACACAATAAAGGCAAGATTAGTTTACTGTAAAGACCTGTACAGTTTTTGTAATGTTCCAGTGACAAAAAATAAGTGCATGTTACGGCTTTCCTATGGTCGTTGCTTTCTTATGGTGGCACTTAATTTTTACTATTTTGCTTCCCATTATAGCATTTTCAGCCTGCTTCTTTCCTTCTAGGAGCAGCATGAAAACTATTTCATCTTAGCCTAGCTGGAGTCCTGCTGTTCCCAGAAAAGAAGGAGGTGTGGGGAGCAAAAATCTTAGAGCATTTTTTCTCTGTATTCACCACTCAAATGCGGATTCTAAGATACCACTTTTCCTTATCCTCAGTCCTTTTTTTCTCTTTGTCCTGATGATCACCTTGCTATGTAATTCTTTTTCTTGTGCCACCTCAATAACATCATTGATCACGCAAAACAGCTACAAAGACCTTTTGTTCTTGCCTATTGCCCGTGTGATTAAGTACTCTTTGCATAAGCTCTCCTTATGCCATGTTAGTTTTGTTTCCCTTGCTCTTCAGTTTCTCTCACAAACATCTTCCTTTCTTCTTCTACAAGGACGCACTCCAAACTTGACTCATAAGACTATTCTTGTGTTGAATCATTTCTTAAGGTGTGCAGGCTCCTTTTTTGTATCCTTCGTATCAGAGAAAGAATAGCAATAGTTTGAAATGCAAGAATGGTTACTTACATCTTACTGAAGGACATAGATGGTTGGAAGTCTTTATGTATATATAAAAAATAAACCTGTTAAGTATATTTCTTTTCTTTCATGTCTTCCGTTGCTTACTGGATTTTAAATTACTAAGAGTAGAGGCTCTAGTTTTACATATTCTGATGTACAGCTTGCTGTATCAGTCTCGATGAGACATTCTTGGAGAACATGTATTCATAAGCAATAATGATTTTCAAATAACTTCTAAAAGAAACGTTATTTCAAGATTAATATATGTTGTGAATTGCCAGTTGTTTGTTTTTCATCAGCTGCTCACACTAACCCAAAATCTGATGAGCACTTAGCATATTAGAGTTTCTCAGAATGATTGTCAGGGAAGCTCATAAATTACTCTCAAAAATGCTTTTAATGGCAGCAGTACGGCATCAAATTGGTTTGTGAAGTTAATGCTTTTTTGTTCTTTCCTGAAAATAGCTTCTATAACACTGTTGTTAAAACAGATCAAAATGTTTTCCAATATTTGTGCATAATCTAAGGAAATTGATCCATAGAGTTCTACTCGTAAATTTTTAGTATTATAGTTTCTAAAATGTATATATTTGAATTGACGTGGCATCTCAAAAGACAGAGATGTATGCTTTTATTAATAATGTATTTTAATTCTGAATCACACGTTTATAGAGGAGCTATCTTAAATTGTAACATTTATTGTCATTTTGTGGAAAAAGCAAGTGATATAAAACTTACAAAACGTCATGCGAATGTTTCTAACACACAAGGTTTAATAAGATTTTTTTGGTGCTCAAGGGAGTTGAGGATTATTTTTTAATTCTGTAAAAATGTCAAATCTGTGGTTAAAACTGAAAGCAAGACACTCAGGTAAGGGACTTCATGACAGTATCTAGTTCCCTTGCTTAAACAACTCGGTTGATCCAGAGCTTCTGGTCTCCTCTTGGCATTCATTAAACATAATTAGGTCCCGCTGCAGCTTTCCCTGGGCAGCCATGCTGAGTAGCTCTCATATGGTGCCTGATGGAGCAATTACACTCCACTGTGATATTCATATAGAGAGATTTCCACATTTGCGGAATGAATGCCATGCACGGATTGTTACTGTATCCCTGTTTCTGTTTACTGAGTATCTGGTGATGCTATTTTGGATAGACTTTCCTATTTATAACACACAAGAAAAGGATGAGCTAGAACACTGAGTAAGGATGATTTGGGGAAAAGTTTAGATTACTCTTTTTTTTTCACTTAAAGTCTGTTGTTGTTTTTTCTTTTCTTTGTGGTATTTCATTTTCCTTCCTGTCGTGCCCTCCGAGACTTCAGAATCTACTGGCCAACCAGTCAAATTTGATAGAAAATGTAGTTTTCAGAGGTGTTTAATCCCTATCCATTCATGAAATAGCAGTCACTGTATCAGGGCCCTTGCTGACTGGGAGACTGCAGCATCACAGGTTCTAGCTGCAAGACACTGAAAACTGCTCATCACTGTCCCATGCTTTTGCTACCTTTGCAGGTGAATGTACACTACCAGCTAGTTTATTTTGTATATCTATTAGACTCTCAAATAATTAGAAAATCAAGAGCATAAAAATAAAGCAGTAAGTGGCTTCTTTAATACATGCTTTCTAAAATAAAAACAAAACAAAACATTGCTGCTGTTTATGTCATTTAAATTATTTCTGTGAAAATTATTATCTTCTCATGTAAATAGTTTCACAAAGCCTGGAGTAAAGCCAATTCAGACATTCCTGAGTTGAGAAAATGGCAGGAATAGGCCTGTCATTCTCGTAAGGATTGGAATTGTCTTACCCTGGTGTTGATGTTTGGTAACATGGTAATGCACATGGTAATTTTTCGCATCATCAGTGTTAGTTGCAAAGAAAGGTTGTGCTACAAATGTGTAACAGAGAAATTAATTACTGTTTTCCTTTTCTTGTAGAACATCTATTCTTGGAATTTCATTTGGGGCTGCGTTTCTCTTGCTTTCCTTCATTTTGTTTATCTGCTTTGCTGGACAGCTTTTGGTAGGTATTCAAGGAAATGTAATCCAGTAGTTAATGGTTTCTTTTAAATAACATGTTCTGATTTTGCCAAGTCACTCTACCTTTGCAGAGTACCAGTTAAATGTGAAAGGTTCACACACTCAGGCTTCTGAGGACATTGTTTTGTCCATGTTAACTTACTGTAAAATGTCCTCATTTAGCTGAAAACCAGAAAATGCCTGTACAGTGACTGTCTGTACCTACACATATACTCTCTTCCCCCCATGAAGCTGGATCCTCTGAGAGGTTTGCATTATTGTTTTATTAATTGTATTTTCAAAAATTTTTGCTATTGTGCTTACAGGAGGTGAACCATTTTAGGGGTGCTTTAATTTGGGGGACCTTGTGTTTGTTTAAGTATTGTATAAGACCATTTTCTGAGTTTAGAGAATATTTCACGATACCAATTTAATTCAATATATAAAAATTTTATAGTAAAATTCTAATTTTACCATTGAGTGGTCCAGGTGTTATTGTAATGCCTATTAGTGTACCTAATAATGTGCTTGATTTGAGAACTTCACTTACTTCCAGATTTGGGCAAACCTTTCAGCATTTAACCATATAATTTACAAGTGTTACTGTCCTCCTTTCAGTTATAGATCCAACATATAACTCTTTTGAGAACAAGGTATTTCGGGATCTTTAAGACAGTGAATGCAATTTTAATTTGGCATGTGATCTGGAGTAAAACTATTTATATACTTGTCACTTAATCCCCACTTCTCCTTCTCTATCTTTACATCTTCGCACAAGCTCCCATGGAGAAAGCTGAGAGAAAGATCTTTTATAAAAGAGCAGAACATTCATATGGGAAAGACAATTACATCACTATACAGTAAAACAGTGAGGAAAGGTGGCCTGGCAGTTAAAGCACAAAACAGAGGAAGTGGGATCTTATAGTTTCTCCCTCTTCCCTTTTCAGGCTTGTAATTAACCAGGACATGTTTTTAAGAAAATGTAATTAATGTACATTTTAATTGTCTTTCCAGTAAGGTAGGGATGCTGCCACTACTCAGGAATTAATCTGAGATATAATGCAACAGTATTTTTAAATATTTTAAATCCTTAGAGTGAGGTTCTAGAGGTATTGCTATTACTTAACAGCAAAATTTAGTTCTGTTTGGTATTGACAGAAGAGTAAAATGATGGACTCAGAGTACTGCTCTTGAATAAGCAAATTGAAAACAAAATCCTTCAAGGAAAAGCCAGTCTTTTTCCTGTAGTTAAAAGAGCTGCCTATGAAAAGGTATCAAGAAGTGCTGGGACATACACTCTCCTGGGGCTTTCCTTATAGTGTAACTTAGGAGGAATGCAAACATATTTTTCTGCAATTAAAGGGATGGCTAAGCAAACGTCCCAAGTCAGAGTTGAGGAGTCGTGCCCCTTGAATAATATCTACCACCTTTCAGTGCTGTTTTTCCTATGCCTTGTATGTACATAAATACTTCCCAGAAATGGAGACCTATTACTGCATTTCTGTTGACTTGCAAGATGTCATGTTCTAAGCTAAATAGCTTAAAGAGGAGCTGTTTATGTCTTTATGAGTTCAGCTGCTCTAATGCAGAAGCTATTTTGCTAAGAAGCCTTTCAGCAAGTGGGTTTTGACCATAGTTGATGCAGCATGGTCTTTCCTTCACAAGCAGGAAAGAGCTGCTGTAAGGTGATGGATGAGAGGCAGTTAACAAAAGAGACAGTAGGTTTATGTTTCCCCTGTCCTCTCCCTAAGATTTCTTCCTTCATGTCAGAATCCAAGCATTGTTTTGCAGCTTTGACCAGAGTGACACCCAATGTTGTTTCACTAGCATGTCCAGTGCAATATCTGACCCAGAACTGTAAATGCTTTCTTTCTAGAAGAAAAAGCCTGGAATTCTCAAGCGAACAGGTATTAATGTCTGGGTTTTAACACTGCAGTGTCAGTGTTAACAGAAATCAGGCTTTGTTGTCCTAATTCTGATTGGGTTTGGGGTATTTTTTGCCAGCATAGATTTTTCCCACCTCTTTTTCTTAAGGGGTACATTTTGTATTCCCTTGCAGAATGCATGTAGCAAATGTGATTGTCCTCATGTATGCACGCAGCTGCACGTAATTACAGAGTTTAAATCACCAAATACCTCTCTTCTAACTATGCGCAAAAACAGGTGAGAATTTTTTGGGCCTGACTGACCCTGACAGATGTACTGTGGTGGGTTAGCCTTGGCTATGGGCCAGATGCCCACCCAGCTGCTCACTCACTCTACCTCCTCAGCAGGATGGGGATGGAAAATAGGATGAGAAAGCTCATGGACTGAGATAAAGGCAGGGAGATCTCTTACCAACTGCTGTCATAGGCAAAGCAGATTTGACTTGGGGAAAATAATTTGTTGCCAACTAAAATAGATTTGGGTAGTAAGAAACAAAAACAAGCATTAAAGCCACACTATTCATCCCCCCTCCCAAACTCAGCTTCACTCCTTCGCTCCAGAATGCTCTGCCTCCCCCCAGGCAGCCCAAGGAGGGGTGAATGGTACTCAGTACATAGACATTACTCTCTGCTTTTTTTCCCTTCACGCTTTCCCCTTGCTCCAGCGTGGGGTCTCCACAGGCTGCAGTTCCTTCAGGAACATCGCCTGCTCCAGCGTGCGTGCTCCATGGACTGCAGTGTGGGCATCTGCTCCTCCTCCTCCTCCTCCAATCTTGGTGTTCCCTCTGCTGTTTCTCACTCTTTTTGTTCCCTCCTCCTCTCTCTGCCCAACATTTTCTGCCTATTCTTACCCAGGCTTTCCCTGAGGTGCCTGCCCATGGCTGAGGGGCTCAGCTGTGCCCCTGCTGCCAGCACCCAGGCACCGGCACATAAACTTGCAGTAGTGGTAAAGTGTCTACATGGCTGTTACAAGGTTTATAGAGTGGGACCAGCGATGTGCCCTCATGGCCAAGAAGGCC